CCCCTCCACGGGGATGGGTCATTTGGGGGGATGAATTTCACCAGAGTGTGATGATGACTCTAGGACTTTAACTTTATACAGAGTGTTTTTCTATTTGGGATTCAAACACTTGTTCAGTTTTCTAGAGCAGATCTTTTGTGTTTTGCATCTTCAGGGTTAGGCAGAGGTGGAAAGAGTACTAACATTTCCTACATAAGTAAAAGTACCAATACTTTGATATTTATTACTCAAGTACAAGTAAAAGTAACTGCCATTTTACTCAACTAAAAGTAAAAAGTATTGTAAATAAAATTAACTCAAAGTAAAAGTTATTTAGTTACTTTTGTCAGAGGAAGGATGGCTACACCTAAGTAGTGCAAAATCACACCAGCTCACAACACTCGTGTGTGAACACACACACACACACACACACACACACACACACACACACACACACACACACACACACACACACACACACACACACACACACACACACACACACACACTTCTATTCATATGTTTGTGTGGACCTCCATTGACTTCCATTAATTTTAGAGACTCCACTATGCCTAACCGTATCCATCCATCCATTCTCTTCCTCTTATCTGGAGTTGGGTTGCGGGGGCAGTAGCCTAAGGCGAGAGGCCCATACTTCCCTCTCCCCAGCCACTTGGGCTAGCTCCTCCGAGGGAATCCCAAGGCATTCCCTGGCCAGGTGAGAGACATAGTCCCTCCAACATGTCCTGGGTCTCCCTTTAGGTCTTCTCCCAGTTGGACGTGCCCAGAAAACCTCACCAGGGAGGTGTCTAGCAGGCATCCTAACCAGATGCCCGAGCCACCTCAACTGGCTCCTCTCGATGTGGAGCAGCGGGTCTACTCCGAGCCCCTCCCAGATGACTGAGTTTCTCACCCTATCTCTAAGGGAGAGCCCAGCCACTCTTTGAAGAAAACTAATTTCAGCCGCTTGTATCCGTGATCTCGTTCTTTCGGTCACTACCCAAAGTTCATGACCATAGATGAGGGTAGAACATAGATCGACTGGTAAATTGAGAGCTTCGCCTTCTGACTCGGCTCTCTCTTCACTACGACAGACCGGTACAACGCCCGCATCACTGCAGATGCAGCACCAATCCGCCTACCGATCTCACGCTCCAGTTTTCCCTCACTCGTGAACAAGACCTCATCCCTGACCATAACTAATGGGGTTCCATTCCTAACCTAAACTAAATGCCAATTCCATTTTAGGGTGCTTAGCTTGGTGTGATCCAGCAAAATGTCCCCAAATTATGGGTCAACATTTCTCCACTTAAACATATAAAGTAAACACACACACACACACACACACACACACACACAGACACACACACACACACACACACACACACACACACACACAGATGGAGCTAATAATGGTTACAACTGCATTAGCTCCAGTATTAAGTTTTGATTTGAACAAACATGATGTTTAAACTCAGAGAGGCAGAAGACCACGCCGAGCATCAGTTGATAAGGAGCTCTAAACGCTCTTTTGCCACTGCCGTGCGGAGCAGTTGGTGAAGCACGTTTCAAAGAAGGAACCGAGTCCGGCTACCAAACCGGGCACAACACTGACGTAACACCAGTGTACCATGATGAGGGTTTCACTGACATGAGCGGGGGTAAACTGCGAGTGCAGAGACTGATGCTTTTTGTGGGAAAAGTGTGGCTGTTTAACGTCCTCATTATAAAAAGTGTACACCCGTACCCTTCAGACAAACACGTCGGTGTGCAACAAGTGGGTCCTACTCATTGACATAAATATATAGACAATGGGTTTCCATAGACTCCAATAATAAGTTTTTGTACTAAAATGGGTGGTGGCCACCACCGCCATTTTGACCGTGTCACAGGTTCCGTCAAGCCCAGACAATTCCAAAAAAGGGAAGAGAGGTGGAGTTGTGTGTATTTCAAAACCAAATCATACTTGGACTTCGAGATATGTTCCGATTCGCCGCTGATTCTAACCTTACATCCCCTTACGTTCCACATTTTGTGAACTTGACAAATTAGCCCGAAGGCAGTGCAGACTGCTATGAGCTAAATTAAGTGAACCACGTCTCTCAAACATTGCATTTAGGTAGGGAATTGAGCTGCAGTATTTCTGCGGTCAGGTCTCTCTACGAGTCCGAGAGCTCCACGAGCGGTCAGCCCGCGCAGCAGCTAGTAGGCGCCGCATCGGACATGCATCGGGCTGACCGCCGGGGAGAACCCTCCAAGAGCTCCGTCATATTTCAACCCATTTTTATGTTAAATGCACTGGGTTTTACCCTTTTACCCATCGACATATGCCCTATTAATTATTTTACCTTATTTTACCTTTATTTAACATTTCATGGTTAAACAGTACATGCTACATGTTAAAATGATAGCTATCTACTTCGATAAACTCAGCTAGTTTAAAGGCGGCAGTGACCTAAAATACATAAATATAATTTTACTTACCGAAAAAAATGAAGTGGAGAATCCTTGGACGCTCTATTAGTGCAATTAATGCCACAGCAAGTCATTTTGTCCAACAATTGCACAAAAAATATCCAAAACAGAATACACAAGCACAGAGACTCAAAATCCCGAAACAGTTTCCAGGCCAGACCGAGGCTCTACCGAGGCCTTTCCACGGAGCTAGCTCTGTGGTCACGTGGGTCTGATGCTCATTAATTATACAGAATTTTAGGCTTTTAATACACTTAAACAGAAGAGTGAGAAAAAAATTCACCCCCCTCAGAGTTGTCATAAGTGTAAACTAGATACCGTAAATCCTCTAATATTGGCCTGTATTCAATTATTGGCCGGGTATCATATTTTGGCCGGTGTAGGAGTCGGCGGACGTGAATAATGGCCGGTATTTTATTGTGGCCGGGTGGAATGTGGTAACAAGCAAGTACCACAGGGGGGGGGGCGGTTGTGTCATCCGTCTCACTTTTGATTTGCCAGTGACAGACCGCGATTTGGCAGGTGCGTAGACGAAGAGGAGGCGAAAATTTGATATCAAGTTCAAAGAGAACGTGCTGATTATGCTGCAGAACACTGGGGAGCAGTAGGAGGGGTTGTATGAACTAGTCAACTTCACTATAGTGACTTTTTATGCCCATTATCAACTAGTCGCTGTCACGTGATAATGACCGGCAAGATGCAGCCCTCGGAAAAGACAGCAGCCTACTGTCAGCAGGTGACAAGCTCCTGCGCGTTGGGGGGGCAACGTGCTGTGCCAGAGCGTCGGTACTGACACCCGCCGTAAAACGGACATTTAACCAAATTGTAACCTTTTCCCTCTTGCAATCTAACCTTCCCCTCACCCCCATCCTAACCTTAACCAGCTTGTGCATGCAAAGCTCTGATTGTTGACGCGCTCCAGACATCTGCGTCCTGAGCACGGCCACAGTAACATTATCACATCAGGTGTGGCCACCTCAAAAACTAATTTAACATGCGATTGTTCGTGTCGGCTCATTTCCTTTTATGTTTTCTGTCTTTTATTTGCGCCTGATGCGTTTCGCTGCTGTGGAGCGGGGCGCATCACCTTGTCCTCCGATGATGCACCGATCACTGATGCGGCCGCCAAGCAGCGGCACTCCGCTGTTTTTGCGGTCAGTAGATCTTTTAGAACTGCAGTTCAAAGGTAACTCATAAGGTGAATATATATGAACCCATGTAGCAGTTTTTCTTTAGGATTGAGAGGAGATGCAGGGAGATAATAAACAGGCAGGACAGAAAAATAGTCAAATAAAAACAAGTTAGTTTTTGTACCTGGTGGTTGCAACAAACAGACACCACTGAAGGTAATCAGAAGTGAGGAACAGAAAATGAAATAATTATTTTAATGTTTAGAGCAGCAGGAACTCTGAGAGGCTGCAGGCACATCAGTGAGTTTGCGGCCGCTGCGCAGGGGGAGGGGGAGAGGGCTGAAGCAGGGCAACAGTAAAGATGCAGAAACTACCGTTGTTAAAAGAAATGTGTTTAACTTTGAAAATGTGGGCGCAATTTTAATTGTCAAAAACTCCAGCGAACCATTAGTTCATTTTGCTCAAATAGAAATAGAGGCCTGCCTCTAATTCTGGTCCTCCTTCCAATAAAGGCCTGGAGCTTGATGAGCTTGAGTCAAATACAGGCCTGGGCCTGTATTAGAGGATTTACGGTAATTTAAACAAAAAACATGTTTTGGTACCAGGCTGTAAACATGTTTATTTCTGCTGTGAAATTGGTATTTTTAACATGGGAGTCAATGAGGATTTGCTCGCTTCTGACACCAGCCTCCAGCGGATGAGGGTGGAACTGCAATTTTTGGTACTTCGGGGTTGAGACCATTTTCTGAGCCGCACTGTGGGGGCTTGGTCCTACTAGATTAACTTACTTAAGTTACAGCGTGTGTTGATTCTGTTTGCAGAGACCGCACCTCCATCTTGGTATTTAATGCTTTCTTGTTGTCCCAACTGCTGCACCTTGTTGTACTATGAAGATACTTCTATACACCAGTTTAAATCATCCCAGTGTCTTCCTTCTCTGCACATCTGGGATATTTCTCATACCAATGACTCCAGCATATCCATCCTGGCTATAGAGTAGTGTTCTGGCCGACACTCCAGAGTCCTAATAGCTGTAGAGACGCTCTAGCACCTTACAGTCCAATTACACAGGCTTATCTACCCACATGTACAGACTTTAAAAAGTATAAACACATAAAAAAGCTACTCAATTACAGTTATGCAAGTAAATGTAAAACGTTACTTTCCACTTCTGCTGTTAGGTTTTGTTTTGCACAAAAATGTAAATACTACTTTTATTTGCATACACATATTTAAGTATTGGACATGTACAATGAAGGTTTGCTGCGATTTTAGTTTCATACAAGAAAATACTTATAGCATTTTATTTTCTCTTAGAAACTTAATAGATAGGTATCTAAATAAAGTATCATTAAGGTGTCAGTGTAAAAAACCAGGTATCGTGACTAAATATTTAACGGTACCCAGCACTAGTACCTGTGGGTTCTGCCGGGCTAGCTGCTCAATCTTCAGCCAGATCTCCTCCCGCTCCTTCAGCTTGTACTTTTCTCTGCAGAGCACAGGCACGCGCGCGCGCGCACACACACACACACACGCACGCACGCACACACACACACACACACACACAAAATCATCTCAGAGTGTTTTAGGGTTGTGCACATGTCAACACGCAGTCTTGACGACATCGTTGTTGTTTACTTTTGTTTTTCAGCCTTGTACTGCTGCGTGCAATCATCAAACAGCTTCTGGTTCATCTCCATGAAGAGCTTCAGGGCGTTGTAGATGAGACCGTGGATGGTCCTGGAGAGGAGGAGGAGATGCTCAGGTTAAAGTCAATAGCTGTAGATCCACCATGCAGAGGTCACCTGTGGGCCCAGGCTAGTTTGGATTTTGTTTGTGGTTCTACATTTCTGTTCTCCCTTCTTTATTTTCTATCTTCTTAGGAGTAACATTCAGGTCCTACAAACCCTTTCTTTTCAGTGCAGCGACAACAAATCCAGATCAGGAAAGTGGTGCTCAGGTGTCCTTTCTTCAAGATGGCGCCGGCGTTCTCGGCTTGCCGTCTGCTCGCGACTCGTTTTTGCTTATTTTATTTCTGTGTTGTTCTCCGGTAGATTATAGCTCAAGTATTCACTATCATCGACTCACCCTTTTTTTAACTTTGCAGTCTAAAAAATTAAACGTAGTTTTTTTATTTCATTCATAGTTTTATTACCAATATACTTTCAAATGTTCATTTTAAGGATGTAAGTAATAATGTTACATTTGATTTAATCACATAGAAGCATTTTGAATACTAAATGACAGTAACATCTAAAATGTATTGAACGCCGTTTATTAAATCCAAAGAGCCTTTCCACAACCTTTGAGCACGTGCGGTTGCCTTTCTTCATCGTCCACTCTGCTGTGAGCTTGGCCATGCGGTCTGGAAAACACTCATCAGTTTCTTTGTATTTTTACTAGAATATCATTTAAATAGTACTTTGTGACAATATACTACATATATTTTTCCAGTAAAATATAGACCGTGTGTTTTGTATGTTTTAGCATTTTGTTGCACTTTGCTAGCATCAAATTTAGTTTATTCAGCTACTGTACATCTGAATATCGCCCCAACAGCTTTAACCCTCCGGAGGCAGGTGTTGCAGCTTTACAACGTTAAAACCTACCTACCTGGTTACTCCACATACATATTTCATGAGCATTTTAACTCATAAGTACCCCTGAAGGACTTAGTTGTTCGTCCTTTTACCAAAACTTATTTTGAGCCTGAAAGGGTTAATGCACCTTCAAACTCTGACAAGCAGTTTCAAGCTAGGTGAACTTTAGCTGTCCACTGCAGACAGTCCCAAAGAGAGTGAGGGCGAGACAGAGCCGGCTACCGTGGAGTCGTTTCCCTTACTTGCAGACCGTTTCACCCCCGTGTGCATAGGCATCATTTTAACCGGGGACGCCGGGGACATGTCCCCGGCAAAATTTGTGATTGGCAGCTGTGTCCCCCCCACTTTCAAAAAATGAGTTGTTTTTTTTACCAGCTCAGATCGTAAACCTACGTCTGCTCCCAGCAGATTTTTTTAATGTCGCAACTGGCATCTAATTATTTATACTTGAGCTTTAAATAATAATAAAACCGTAATCAATTAATTAATTTGTAACATTTCTGAAAATGTGCCCTGCGTTATGCTGAGTACTCTACCCTGCTGTCCTGCATGCAGCTGTCAGCAGTTGTGATAAGCAGGAGAGCACATCACCCACACTGCTCAAGAATCCCTTATTCTTGTTTAGCTCCAAGAGGTAAGCAATGTTATATTTTATTTAACACCAAAAGAAGGTGATATTTTTATGCAATTAATGCAGGGGTCCTTCAGGCGTGCTTACAGCCACCCCAGCTGTTAGCATGTAGCTGGTGGAGGTGAGTACACGTCAGCAGAATAATATGTTAAGTCACTGAGTTAAGTAGCTTTTGTGACTTGTTTTTGACATGCGAGGGCTCTTGGGAGTGTTCTGTGAGAAGTTTAGCTGTAGCTTTAAAAAGAAAAGCCAGTTTTATGGGTGATAATGCTTCCATTCGCATGTCGCTAATAGAAGCTAACTTCTCGTAAGTGAGTGTTAAGTTGCTTCGCTGTCTTTTAAATCTGAACAGTGTGTGATGCTGGATAACACACATTAGCCATGTGTACATGCCCAAAATCTCCTCTATCCGACGAAAATCTCATTTGACAGTCACAAATAATATAACAATGATATATATAATATAATACAATAATAATAATACAAGATCTTTTTTGCTAGGCTAGCTATATGGATGTAAAGATTCCACCTTGCTTACAGGCTAATGGGGGGTTTCAGTGCCGTTGGAAAAACAAAACAGGATTTTTAATAACTGTCAGTACACTACTATGCATATTGGAGTGAAACATTAAAAACTGATGAATACTTAAATATGCTAGCCTATTTAATGATTGTCCCCAGCAATTTTTAAACCCCACTCAAGTGTATGGTTATTGTCCCCAGCAATTCTAAAAACAAACTGACTCCCTTGCCTGTGTGTCAGGGAAGGGGGGTGTCTCGTGCTCGCAGAACGTTTAACTTTTGTTGTTTAAAAGTTTAATATTCATTATTTCTACATGTAACAAGATTGTTAAGGTTAGACCATCTTTTACATGGGTTTTACTGCATCATACTGATGTATTGTGGTGCTGGTGGTGGGGGGGGGGGGGGGGGGGGGGGGGGGGATCTCTCCCTCCCTCTCTAGCTGTGCAGTTGTGAGCTATACTCCAAAAGTGCACGTTGAAGGTACCAAATGATTTCTTATCATTTGCTTTTTGCTGATTACACAATTTTATAACTTTGATTTTGTTATTTGGTCTCGTAGGTTATGACTGAGGTGTTGTAAGCTTTGCTCTATAACTGTATCTAAAAGGGACCAAATCCTAAAACTCCTGAACACTTTTCTTGGTCTGAGACGCTCCTATCCATGCATTTACAGTCATTGTCCTTGTACCTTGAAAGCATGGGGTGGTCTTAGGACTCAACTAAGTCATGCACATATTGCTAAACCCTCTCGCACTGTAGGACATGTTACTCTGACTTGCCCTTCTTGTCCTGAAAGCCACCTTTCAACATGCAGAGAATACTTCCTCCATATTAATAAACATCTCAAGAGGTTGGAGACAGTAGATTGTGTCGATCAACAATGTTCTTTCAAAACTAACGTATAAGGTACTTTCCAGACACACAAGAGTAGAACATATTCCACATGCACGTTAAGAGATTTAAAAAACAAAACAGTGAAGAGAACTGAATTTACAAGTGACCATGACGTTTCAGAGGAGTCTGCAGACGAAGGGTCTTCTGGCTTGCATGGTGAAGCTGGTGCAGTTAGTGAGGAAGCTGTAGTTCAAAACCTCGCCTTGATTTTATTAAAGTTGGAGGTCTGTTCACATGTACTAATGGATCATTTACTTGAGAGGCTTCGTTTTTTATTCACTACTTCTGCTTTACCCCTTAAACAGTTTAACTTTGGCTGTTCTAAAGGTACATAATACTGAGGTTAGTGCATCGCTAGTGAATGAGTTGTGCACTGCATTATACAGTGAAAATCCACTTCTGAAGAATATTGTGAAAGGAGGATCAGTTGAAAACATCATTTAGGAGAAATGAATTTTACTACGATAAGTTTTATGTTGTTGAGCCAGAAGAATATGTTCTAGAGGGAACAACTAACAAAACCTTTCAATATACCCCATTACTGAAGTTATTGGAGCAGTTACTTCAACGTAAAGACGTTGTTGGAAAGCTGGTTGACAACACTAAAAGCAGTTGTTAAATTCATGCTTACATGTTTTCAGGACGGTGAGAATCATCAGAATAATATTTTTATTCAAACGGGGAGTTCAGATTTTCATTATGTCTTTATATTGATAATTTTGAAATGTGCAACCCGCTAGGAACATCTTGCAAAAACATAAACTTTGTGCGGTTTACTGGATTCTGGGCAACTTGCCTTCTGGTTGCAGCTCATCCCTTTACTCGGTTTACTTAGCATTGTTGTGTAAAAGTGAATTCCTTAAATCTATATGCATCAATATGCAGGAGCATTTGATCGAAGAACAAAGGAAAATTATAAGCTTCATACAGAGACTGCTCAGGAACAAGGTGTGAACTGTTTAGGTGTAAGAAAATCCTGTGTTGTCGGATAACCTCTCGTATTTTACTGTTGTTACTGATTACCCTCCTGACAGGCCATGATTTCTTCATAGGAATAGTTCCTGTTGAGTTGTATTGACATTCTCGTGTCTAAAAAGAAGGGATGAGCCAGATACTCGTCTGAAACGAGTATTTGGACAAAGCATTTTTGACGAGTACGAGCATAAAAAGAGTAAAACCCGTCAATATCTGTAATCTTGCTGAAGTAAAGTCCTCATTGGGTAACTGCCCGTCTTCACGCTTTGTGATTGGCCAGTCACACAGATAACCTGCCCCTCCCTGCACACAAAACCATCAGACAGCCCTCAGTTGCTGACACCCCCCCCCCCCCCCGACACACTCACACACACCTTGTTTTGCTTAATTTTGTGTAGGAAACAAAGCCAAAAATGTTTGAATAAATAAATACATAAACTAATTAAATAAAAAGCTGTGTCGTGTTCTAGTTCATATTTCCTGCTGCATGAGTTCAGTTGTACACTTTCATGCACTTAAATATTCAATTCAGCTTTATTTATAAATCACCAAATCACGACAATATTCATGTTCTGATTTTATTGAAAAACTTGTTCTGTAATGGTTCCTTTACTATTGGGATGGAAAACATTGAATCTCAATTCTGAGGCTGCTCTGTAAAGTTTTTAATAAACAATACATAAAGCAACTTCTGATCAATCCATATCTATTTCAGACTTCAAATAATGTACTGATTGAAGCCCCACCTACTTCCGGTTAAACCACGCCCAGTTCTGGTTTAGGCCCCGCCCACCACAAGTGCAGATACAGATAAATTAAATGGTTGAACAGACACAGATACAGTCTGGATTTATCCTGTGTTCATGAGCAGTCTCCACCACTACTCTGACCAGTTGAAGATTCTACGGTAAAAGGAGGGGAAACAGCACCACAGATCAATGTAGTGATGTCTGCAATTCAATAGGTATTCTCCTATTGTGTTCAAATTTATTGTAACTAGATTAGTTGCAGGTTGATCTCAGTCCTGGTTATGAATCTGTCTTTATAACTGCCTTGGGTAATTTTATGCTTATATTGTCCTGGGTTCTGCTTCTGTTCTCAGTTTTGGCTTCTGTTCCGGACTTGGTACTGACTTTCAGCAGAACTCGTGCCCCTAGAAGCCATAAGTGCCATGGCTGGCCTTGTAGCATGTTGCTTTTTTAACTCATTAATCGTCTAATAGCATAAATACTACCCTGAGGAAAGAGAAAGGAAGAGAAGGAAATTTTCCATTTTGCTACAACTTAGTGACAAAATGGAGATTTGTTACTCGAACGTGGCTGTAAATACTGCAAATGTGGTGCTAGACCACATATCTGATATTACGCAGTGGGATAACGTTGATCTTGCCCTGGAACACATTGCAAAAGCAGACATTGAAGAAAGTCAAAATGTGTCTTCGGTGCATCCAATTAAGAACCACACTGATCCTTAACTAGCAGACTACGTTACATTACCGTGAGTTTCTCCCTACAAGTTCTGAAATGTAGATTATGAACTCATACCTGTGAGGGAAAAAGCATGGTTAAAATTAGTTAGGAAAAATTATGAATTGGTTAAATAAACAATTTAAAATTAAGGTATTTTGTAAGTTCTGCAGGGGTTTCTCAATACAACAAAACAAAGTAAATGTCATACTTATTTTGTGTTTTGTATAGAGTTCCCGCATCGAAGTGAAGCATGAATGCATCCTTAAGGTGCAGAATATTTACTTTATATATATATATATATATATATATATATATATATATATATATATATATATATATATATATATATATATATATATATATATACATAAACCTTTGGTCTTTAGCCTGGTGCTGCACAACCAGTAGGCTTTGATCACTGGACCTCAGGGACCTGCTGGAGGTGTAGGGACTAAGAAGATCACCAATGTAAGATGGTGCTTGTCCATGTAAGGCCCTAAAGACCAGAACCAGGATCTTGAAATGAACCCCGACGTTGATTGGCAGCCAATGAAGCTGCAAGAGAAGCAGGGTGATGTGGGTGTGTTTGGAGGACTTGGTCAGAAGCCGAGCACAGGCATTCTGAACCACCTGTAGACGTTCAGGGAGGTTCTGCTCAGACACGTGAAAAGAGAGTTACAGTAGTCTAAGCGTGAGGAGATGAAGGTGTGGATAACTGTCTCAAGTTCAGAGCGAGACAGAGTGGGACTCAGCTTAGCAATGTTCCTGAGATGGAAGAAGGAAGAGCGAACAAGAGAACTGACATGAGAGTCCAGGGTGAGAGCTGGGTCAAAGGTCATGCTGATGGAAGGTTTGGTGTGAGAAGTAAGCTGACCAAGAGAGTCTCTGACTTTGGGAACCAGCTTGTCTGGGGCACAGATGAGGATCTCAGTCTTATCTTCATTCAGCTGTAGAAAGCTCCCAGCCATCCAGGTTTTGATAGAGTCTAAGCAGGTGTGTAACAGCTGCAGCTTAGACATCTCATGGGGCTTAAAGGAGATGTACAGTTGGATGTCATCTGCATAAAGATGGTAGGAGATTCCTTTGAAGTAGCTCAGGATGTGCTGAAGAGGGAACAGATAGAGGAGGAAGAGCAGAGGCCCCAGCACAGAACCTTGTGGGACACCATGGGTAAGAGAGGTGGTGGAGGACCTAAACTTGGAGACGGCCACAGAAAAGGAGCCCTCAGAGAGATAAGAGGAGAACCACTCCAGAGCAGATCCCAACGTTTTCCCGGGACCGGATAAACAGCCTCTCCAGTAGCAGGTGATGGTCAACAGTGTCAAAGGCTGCAGTCAGGTCCAACAGGACCAGAACAGAACAGTCCCCTGCATCACTGTGAGTCAGAAGGTCATTAGAGACCCTAAGAAGAGCTGTTTCAGTAGAACGAGCTCTACGAAACCCTGACTGGAAGCTATCATAGATGTTATGTTCATCAAGAGCAGCTGAGAGTTGTTTAGCCGCAACCTTTTCCAAGATCTTGGAGATGAACGGAAGTTTAGAGATGGGTCTGAAGCTGCTATGGAGAGAGGGGTCGAGACTTGGTTTTTTAAGAAGCGGGTGGATTACAGCATTCTTAAAGTAAGCAGGGACCTGACCAGAAAGCAGAGAAGCATTAATTATAGAGAGCACGCTGGGACCGATGGACAGAAAAGCACTTTTAAACAAAGATGAGGGTAAGATGTCGAGGGGGCATGCAGAGGTCTTCATAGAGTTAACTAGTTTGGTTAACTCAGGCAAAGAAACCGGAGCAAAGCTATGTAGGATGATGGGCCTGGTTGGAGTCGGGAGAGGCAGCGATAACGCTGAAGGAGAGATGCTAGATCTAACCTTATTGACTTTGTCCACAAAGAAAGACAGAAAGTTCTCACAGTCTGTAACAGAGTGGATGGAGGCTGTAGGAGAGGCAGGAGACACGATGCTGCTGATGGTGTTAAACAGCACCTTGGGGTTCCCTTTGCTCTGGGACACCAGGTTGGAGAAATAGGAAACCCTAGCGTCTCTGACTGCAGAGTTAAAGGATGTCAAAAGATCCTTTAGGTGCAGCAGATGGACGTGGAGATGGGTTTTCTTCCACAAGCGCTCAATTTTTCTGCAATGGCGCTAAGAAACTTCAGAAACAGCTGGAGTTAGTGGACGTAAATTAGCAGGGTTAGATCCACGGTGTTTATAAAAACCACTTATGGAGGGAACAGGAGGAGAAAACACTGAGGAATGAGGATAAACCGACCTTAAAAAACTTGGACGGAGACGCCGCAACGCGGCCTGGCGGGAATGCGGAAGTGGCGCTCAAGTCGCCAAACAAAGGACAAGAAGCTAGAAGATCACGCCGATGTTTACTAGATAAACCACGCTTTAAGAGAAGTCTTGTTCTCACCTGGATTCCTGCTAGTTTACCTCTTTTCCTCCAACGTTTTCCCGGGACCGGATAAACATCGCTGGGGGCGTGCTGGTTGGGATCATCGTTTGGCTTCGGGACCGTGCGCCACTCAGATAAACAAACAGGGAGGTACATCCTTGGTGCATCTTGGGCGATCGTGAACAAATGGAATGACAAAAGAGTCTGGCGATCATAGGAGATGGTAGCAGGAACACTACTAAAGAAGATCGCAGACAGGAGCAAGGTGGAAAAGAGGAGATTAGTGGACAAAAGTTTGAAAAAGTGGCCGGTGACTGCGGCTAAGCCAAGCACAGGCGCCATCTTGTTACCGACTAAAGCGGAAACTCAATGTTTCAGTCATTTAGGAAGGAAGGTCCTACTGGAAAATGTTCCATATCCAGCTGCTGGGTTGTCACTTTTTCTCCTTTCAAAACAAAGGAAGGAGGGTTGTAACAAGTGTTTACCATCTGTGTGTTTTTGTGTGTGTGTGTGTGTGGGGGGGGGGGGGGGGGGGTGTGTCTCCTGAGAGCTAAAGCTGTAGCACACATAATTGTAATTTGACGACGGTCGGCAAAAAGCTCCAGAGTTGTTTAAAGTGGTTGCAGTAACCTTTCTATTTTTTTGTTTACTTAATTTCTACATAATTCACCTTTAACTATGTTTCTATCTTTTTACAGGAGGCTGTGATTAGTGGATGGTGAGCCTGACCTAATAAGACTAGGCTAAACAAAGATGTGCAGCACTCATGCTGATGCCACGGCCGTCAGACGTGATGTTATTGGTTAAGTTGGTGGTTCTGAAGAGAAGACAGTCCACATGGCCAATCTCACTTCTCTAACTGCAGAAGAGGAGCTCCAGATAAAATTTCTACATGCGGTCCTCTTTCAGCGGTTTTAGCTCATGGAAAGCTTCAGTTACTATTTAAAAATTCTCAACACAAGTAGTAGATCAATTAAGGCTATACAAATAAAGTTAACTCCTTTAAGTCCTGTCCTGCTGTAAAGCAACCAGAACTGACGTCTGAGTACAGAAAACAGTTTTACTCTCACAGGTAGAGCGTTATAGATTCAGTCGTAATCCTACACCTGATATCTAAACTTTATTAGAGATGCTTTTGGTTGTTTTTGTTCCCAAAGGACACGGAGACGGAGAGGAAAGAGAAAGGGGGAGCGGAAAGGGAGAGATGGGGAGAGTTCGCAAAAATAAACAATAAAGGATGAACAAGAAGCAGCTTCTAGATCTGCAGAAAGAGAGACACAAATCCAACAGAACCAGAACATCACTAACAGTTCTAATGGATGGTTGGTTGTGTTTTTGTCATCCAGACTTTCATCTCCTTGCTCTCTCAGCCTCTCTCTGAATTTTATTGATACGGTATGTATATGAATTACACACACTTCTACTGCTATCTATAAGAATTATATTGTTTATTACATAGCTGTGTAGTATTTTTTGCTTCTCTGTCATATATTAAGTGTGTTTTTTAAATACTGCCATAATCTCACACATCTGTTGTTTGAACTTTTGTGTCAAGTTTTGACTCTAAGCTCTGGACAAGACTCACATATGTACCCACAGCAAACCCGCTGTTATTAAAAACACTCAAACGTGTCCTGTATCAGAGCTACATGTGTGACGTTTGCAGGGGGGAAAAAAGGGGAAAGGGGGGGGCTCGTCTCATTTTCGTTATGAAAAAAAGGGTGTCAACAGAATTAATTCGTCATCGTTTTCATTTAAACAACAACACTGATGTTAACATACATATCTTCTACACCGACAGCCTCTTGTTAGTGGCTTTTTAGACTCTTACGGTCTCCAGCAACAGGTCCAGACAGGGGCGCAGATAGGATTTTCAAACTGGGGGGGACAAAGTTCCAATGTACCCTCCCCCAAACACATACACACACACAGACACACACACACGCACAGACACACACAAATACACACACACACACACACACACACACACACAGACACACACACACGCACAGACACACACAAATACACACACACACACACACACACACACGCACAGACACACACACATACACATACACACACACATGCATGTACACATACACAAACTATTGCAAGCGCCTTAACTAGTGCTCAGTCAGTTTGTGTAATTTCATCCGATGTTTTACGTAAAAACTAACACTTTTATATACGTGTTTGAAGCCATTATGCAGTGGAACGCTGGCAACAAAGCTCTGCCTGATCAACACTATAAATAATAAATGATCCGCACTTGTATAGCGCCTCTCAGAGTAAGGACTCCAATGTGCTTTACACTACAGTGTATCATTCATCCATTCACACACATTCACACACTGATGGTGATGAGCTCCACTATTTAATTCAGTCATTTGTTATTCTTCCAATCAATTACTAACCAAAACCTCATGCTTTATGCAAAACATTAAATGGTTTGTAAGCTTACCAATCTTTACAGAAAACATAAAATTCCTAAAAAACTGCACATAAAATATATTTAAAAAATGAAATTCACTTATCACTTAGAGCAGTAGTTCCCAAACTTTTCAGCCTGACCAACAAATGTTCCTTCGTATTTTCAACTTATTTAGAAATTTTTCATTATATTTGGAAAGGTTTAATTTATATATAAATATATAAATCTCTTTTTAAATTTTATATTTCACCTTTTTTTATGATTATGTGACACACTTGACTTCCATACAGAACGCATCAGTATCTGCCTCTTTTTACGGCTTTATTTTTACATTGTCGCTACGTCTGTCAAGTTTGCGGTGTTTTACCATCATTTCTACATCCATCTCATCCCAGAGAATGTTAAACCAACATTAAACCCAACGTTTGGAGCTTGTAAGCTCCACACACCTCTCGTGCAGCACCAGCTGTCTGATGCTGCAGCAGCGTCAATCTTCCCGGCTGGATGAGTGAATTTCTTCATCAGAGTCAATATTCTGCTTCATAATCAGAGTCAGTCATTAGCAGACAAAGTGATCAGTCAGCAAAGACCAGACCTGCCGGCAATTATACGTTTTATCTAATATTTGCGCTCTTCATGTTGCACACATCTCCTCCTCTCCCCGACTGGGAGCCTCTAGGCGGGAGGCGATTTTCAAGCTCTAAAAACTCCCAAACTGTGCTCAGCCTGAAGGTTCCACATCTCCACTATCTTCTGGTGTAAAGTAGTAACTTCATGAGGGATCATATTTTTTAGATGAGACTTGTTAAAGTCAGCAATGAGGCTTTGGCGCTTATAACGAGTAAGTCCCAACACTGACAACAACGTACTGAAACTAGAACCAACACGCATAAACAAACAGATCGGTCCCGCCTACTTACACTGTTGGTCTTTTTTAAATACGCAGTAATCGTTGCTTGCCTTTTTCGCTTCATCCTGCATCCTAGCAGCAACCACTTTGGTGCCTCTGGAGTCGGTGTTTGTTTACATTACGCTGCATTCAATGTAATTGGAAAAAGGAGCTTCAAGAGCTTAACCTCCGATTTTGTTTTCTTTCTGGCCTTAGTTGGGGGGGACGGATCGGGGTCGATCTGAATCTGGGGGGGACGGATCCCCCCGTCCCCCAACCTATCTGCGCGCCTGGGTCCAGACACCCACCCACTCAGCCTCGCATATTTTGGACTTGGTTCTGTTGTTTGTATCAGTATAGGGCGACAACATCCTCTGCTGCCCACGGATAAACAGAGTAGGAAGTGACGTCACCATCAGCGTCAGCTCTGAGGAAGTCTGCAGCTGCAAACGAAACCGTCAGCAAGGCAAAAAGAAACCTTTTCTGTGTTTTAAAAAAGAACTAAAGATGGAATTATAAATGACTACAGTACTGAAGTATACATGACTAATGACTGGAACATAAGCAAATGCTTTTTATAAAACTGAATAACTGAAATAAATGGACACTTAACAGGAGGAACTACAGACAGGAACATGACACTAATCAAGACCAAGGGCGTCAGTTTGTTTTCAGAATTGCTGGGGACAATAACCATACACTTGAGTGGGGTTTAAAAATTGCTGGGGACAATAAAGTAGGCTAGCACAGGGGTCGGCAATCCGCGGCTCTGGAGCCGCATGCGGCTCTTCCATCCATCTGATGCAACTCTCTGTGCTTGTAAAATAATAAATGGATATTTAAATAAAATGCTTTATATTTTACTGCATTAATTTTACACCTGTATGCCAATTCTAAATGTAAAGATTGTCTTCGTAAACCTGAACAGGTCCAACCCGGTCTGCGGTGGTTGACCGGTCACGCTTGTGCGTAATCATCGGCACTTTATGAGCTGAAGAGGATGTGAGATTCTGGGCTTCTCCTCAGACGGCTCCTGGATGTGTCGCCACATTGGAGACAGGAACAAGCGCTATTCAGCCAAAGTTTCATCATCAGGGAACATTTTCTAAGTGACAAGTCTCTCTGAGAGACAGGGTTTGGAAAACACTCGCTTCAGTGGGAGGAATCTTCCCGCATGCGCACTGCATGGTTCTCTGCGTGGCTCTGGGGTTAATCAAGTTTAATTGTTTCTCTTTGCAACAATCTTCACAGGAAGGCAAAACAGTTAAACGGCAGGTTACATATATTTCCATTTGACTGTTTATTTTGACAGATGAACTCAAGGATGTTGCTTGGTTTGAAAAAATTACCCCGACGCACACGGATGCTCATGGATGAGCTGACATTTTAATCGTTAACGCACACGCGGAGGTAAAATATTCCCATCAGAACATCAGAGCTCTTTATACTGGACACTGTGTTCAGCGCGGCTCGGAGCGCCCCCGGTGGACAGTGAGCTGAAGATCTGGGGTTCGCAGTGCAGCGCAGTGCAGAACCACGCGCATGCGATGATTTCCTCCCACTGAAGCGTTCTGGAAACCCGGTCTCTCTGAGGGATGTGTCACTTGGAAAATGTTCTTTTTATGAAATTATGAAACTTTGGCTGAACAGCGCTTGTTCCCGTCTTCCGCATGAAGCGTAGAGACATTTGATCACGCACAAAGTTCGTGTGGAGCAGAAGCGGTCGGGCCACGGCAGGTGAAATGTTCCTAGCCTACATGAAGTGAAACTGTTTAATTGTAACATTAATGTGTTACTGGACACGCTGGTCTGGTTGGTTAGACCAGTGTTTGAAGTGGAAAACACACACACACACACACTCACTCACTCACTCACTCACTCACTCACTCACACACACACACACACACACACACACACACACACCAATTAAAATATAAAATAATGCTGATAGCGTGGACTAGAAGACAGGTGATGGTTTACGTATTTAAATGATGATCAGGCTGATGTAAAATGTAATCTCCATCCACATCCAGACACAATTATCCTCTAGTCTTTCTCTAGTCGCTCTGCTCTTGTCTGGGCTGATCAGCTGATGGTGCGCGCGCGCCTAACTAGCGGCTGATGCACATTTTACGCATTTGGAGAGGTGGGCTGGATGCTTTGCGTTTACTGGAAGATGGTCCACTTAACGCACGGGTGTAGACTACATATTAATGACAAATGAATGAAAATTAAATTGTGAGTTTTTACTTCATATTTTAGTAATAAAAATGATGGGGGAACACATTTATGACATCTTTTTAAACGAAATTTTCTAGCGCGACCTGCCTGCTTCACTTAAGTCACTGCTTATTAAGGTCCGTCCAAAATTACCGTGGGAAACGGGTAATAATGGTTCTTTGATGGGAACAGGGTGCCGACCCCTGGATAAGATCTGAGCTGGTAAAACAAAAATCCTCATCAGCAGGCGTTTTTGAAAGTGGGGGGGACACAGCTGCCAATCACAAATTTTGCCGGGGACATGTCCCCGGCGTCCCCGGTTAAAATGACGCCTATGATCAAGACTATTAAAATGTCACTGTGTGATAATTAACAAGGCCCCAATCAGCAAATAGAAACACCTGTAAAGGTTCCTGAGCCTTTAAATGGTCTTTCAGTCTAGTTAAATTAAAATAAACATAGTTTTACACAGTATTGTAATTTTTCCTGCTACACATAATTGTGAGTTTTAAGTAGCATTTCTGTTGTTGGTAATCTAGTAATGGTTAAATAAATAAATAAAATCCATTAAAATGACACTAGAAGAGGCACAAATCTGATGGAGGACTTTAATGTACCATCTTCTCTAGTAACACATGCATTTTCTCATGAGTAACGGAAACAGTGTTATGACAAAAGAAGACGGTAATTAATAAGATTACTCTTTACTGAAAATATGGCGTTATTCCCATCACTGGGTTTCAGACCAAATTACAGCACAGTTTCAGCCCACATTCAGGTTCTCAGTGATATCCCGATTTTAATGGACTCTGGCTCTTAAGTTTTGTTACTGTTACTCGAGCTGACCACAGCATTCAACACTGTAGACCACACCATCCTACCCCATAGGCTTGAGTCACGGGTGGGTGTCACTGGTACTGTCCTTGCTTGGTTCAAATCATGCCTCACTGGTCGACGTTTTAGAGTTCATATCGAGGAGTGCTCCTTTCCCAATGTCCCACTTTTGTGGGGGGTGCCTCAGGGTTCTATCCTGGGTCTTCTCCTTTTTAAAAATACATGCTTCCTCTCTGAAGGATATTATCCAATCACGGCGTCAACTACCATTTCTACGCAGACGATTGCCAAATTTACCTGAAACTGAATCAACAGCACTCATCTACTGTTTTGGCAGAATGCCTGTCAGAGGTCAAAACCTGGCTGTCCACTAACTGCCTACGTTTAAATGATAGCAAGATAGAGGCCATCCTTTTAAACCCCACCAACACAAATGGTGCTACAGATGTACCTGCTCTTCCCTCACTTAAATCATGTGTCACCAGCCTAGGTGTGAAACTTAACTCTGACCTCTCAATGACTTCACAAGTCAATGCCACTCACAGGTCTTTCTTTTTATCTACTTTGCCGCATCACACGGCTTAAATCCATCCTCAAACGCCCGCATCCTGTATCTTTCATTCATGCATTTATTACCTCCTGCCTGGATTACACCAATTCTGTGATGACTGGGATTAATGCGCCCACCTTGAGCAGACTACAGAAAGTTCTAAAGTTCTTGAAAGCTAGTGGTGCTCAGGTGTACTGGGTGGTGTTCAGGTGTGCTTGTGGTGTGTTCAGGTGCAGTGGGTGGTGTTCAGGTGCAGTGGGTGGTGTTCAGGTGTACTGGGTGGTGCTCGTGTGTGTTACTTGTTCCAGTGGCTCTTGGAGTTCTTGTAGAGAGCGGGGAACATGATGGGGAGGATTTTAGCTGCATTGTCGCTGATCAGACTCATGATGTACTCGTTATTCCAGTAATATAGAGCTCTCTCTGCCACCTGAACACAAAGCATTGATCAGAACCTCCTCAGACTATAGCTCTGGTTCTAGCTTATGGTCATGTTTCTGCTACCTGGAAGTGAGGACTGGAGACACACTTGGCGAGCTGTCTGAAGAGCGGCTCCTGAACTTTAACAAACTCTGATGGCTCGATGACATCTAGGATCTCCTCCAGCTCATTCAGGAACATGACCTCCTTTGGACTATGAGTCTTTGGCCAGAACTTCAGCAAGCCCATGATGACCTGTGGGGGACACAAGTGTTTGGGAAAAGAAGATAGTTTAATCACCATATAAACCAAACTGCTCAATCCCCTCTTGGTGTAGTCATGAAAATGATGTGTGCAGCAAACTTACTGGCTCAGTCAGGCTACTGTCCTTCTCCAGGAACTGAACCACACAGTAGGCCAGCTGTAGACATACAGCGCAAAATCCACCTAATTACAACCCAACATAACATAACATTTACCCAGAATGGTCCAGGTGTTGGTAGGTGGAAAGGCATGCCTTACCTGAGGGTGGTACACGCTTAGAGACTTAACTTTATGCAGTGGCAGCAAAACTCTGATCAGAAACATCTTGTGTTCTTCTTTCAGCGGCAGAGCAAAGCCATTAATGATGCTAAAAACAAGAGAGCATGTGTCAAAGGTCATCCAGAGGTCAAACGGTTCCACATACTAGATGGACTGTTACCTCCCCAGGATCTCCAGAAGCTCCGCAATGCCATTGTGGTGCTCCGTCTCGTAGATGAACCTGTAAGAGCAACAGCAGTGGGTCACAGGAGTGTTATCATACCTTTTGGGACTAGTTGACTTGTTGCGTCTTTATGTTTGGTGAGGTTATTTCCATTTGAATTCCTTACACGATTGTGACTTTAGTCGTTCATGTTTAACAGACTTGAACAGAAACTGTGACTGAGACTACACCCAAGTGCTGCTGCTACGTTTACTTTTGACTAGTAGTGCAACATTGCTGTCTTCTTTTGTTGATCTCCAATATTTAGAAATTAAACAAAACCACAAGGGCCTCAATTATAAAGCTTACTGATGCTAAAACTGGGACTGATCATTGCATCATTTTCTACAACGATTTATAAAGAAATGTGGCAACTTTAGGTACACTCTGAGCCTTCTGTAAGAGCATTATAGAGACGGGGACTCCGGCAGCACAGCCGGTGAGATGGTGACTTTAAGTTAACTTACAGACTTATGGATGTTCACACACACACACACACAGACACACACACACACACACACGCGCGCGTTCGCGCACACACACAAAAAAACCAACAGTTAGCCCCCACCATCATCTCCGAACTAGGCAAAAAAACATTGTTACCTTTATCCATGGTGTCATTAGGGTGTTTTAAAATCAAATTTCCCATTCCTCGGACCACCAACTCTCCTATAATTCTCTATTTTCACACCTCATCTATGAAACTCACCTCTCTTCTCCTGCCCTTTCTAGTACAACATAAGGCCACATGTAGAAAAAGTAAAGATTTAAATTTAGATTAAAGGTAAACTATGTAAGAATTGAGTAACAGTGGCATCCTGTGGTCAGATTTGATTACTGCAGTAATTACGGTGGGGTTGCCATGTAGGGATAGGAAACTAAAGTTTATATGTTTTAACAACCATGAAATATTATCTGTGTTTTCTCAATTATAAACTACTTAAAAAAACAATATATTATACCAAGTTTATTTCTATAACACATTTTAAAATGACAGCTGATCAAAGTGATGAACAAGGATACAACAATAATAATAAATACAAAATTAGCATTCAAACATAAGATAATATAATATAATGATATAATAATAAATATATGATATAAAATAAACAGTAATTTATAATATAGTGGAGAAAAACTAGGGCAACATTAGAATCACAAACCTAACAAATGTATAAACCTGAATGTTTTACATCAGAACATGGTTATTATACAATGAATACAGACGGAATGATTTCATTTGGAGAATCACAACAAAAATAAAACATTCGGTAATTGTAAAAGCCCTTGGATCACCCCCAGGATCACGCTCCTCTTCCCCACAACCAGCCCACACCTCACCGCCCACCCACCACCTGGAACCCCGAACCCTCCGAGCTCACCTGCCGAGAGCCACCTCCAGACCTGACCTCTGTCCCCCCTCAGGATCCCCATCTCCCTCCTCCCAACTTCCCGGTCGAGCCGTCGTCTCCCGTCCCTCGCCCATTTTTGTGGTGCTCCTTTAGTTTCTAAAATAAAGCCTTTTGTTATTCCTTTTAAGAAGTTCAGTCTCGAGTGGTGATTCTGAGTATGCCTTGGGTCAAACACCTTCCCGAGACCATGTCAGACCTGTTTGCTAATTCTGTCTGACAGCATGTTTGTGAGAGGAGGATTGGGCCATGCAGCAATTTTAAACTAACAATATTTCATTAATTTGTTGTTGAATGTTAACAGTGTTAATATACTACACCACTACATAGTCATGTAATTAGGGTAACAACAAAAGAAGAGTTTGCTGAGCTGAATCGATATATTGGATTGAATCGAATCAAATCGTAATAATCGATTCTAATTCTTGAGAATTTGAATTGAATCGATTCTTAAAATTTGAATTGATACCCAGCTCTAAATCACAGCCCTGTCTACATGAAAATAAAAACTGATAAAACTAAAACAAGTGTAGACTCAATTCTAGTATACCTAACGGGATGATTAAAGTAGAAATGAGGCATTACCGTAAATCCTCTAATACAGGCCGGTATTCAATTAAAGGCCGGGTCTCCAATTTTGGCCGGTGCCGGAGTCAGCGGAGGTAAATAATGGCCGGTTTCTTATTGTGTCCGGATGGGATGTGGTAACAAGCAAGTACGAGCGTGCCAGCGGCAAGGTTGTAGTCCACAACTCAACCAGCAGGAGGCAGTAGGGGTTCACGTAGACCTTTATTGGGCTTTTTCTTCAACGCTTTGTAACGCTACAGACACGATCCTCTATCACGCTCCTACCACACAGAGTCACGGTGTCAGTTAAGCATGCTAATTCAACCCGCTCCACAGAACACACATCAGCTTCCCTGTGGCTTACATAACACTCACACAACACGCAAATCAGCACATAGGAACAAGCAGAACGATAGGAAACACATATAACACAATACCCAGAATGCACCTGGCTTACAACCCCAGCCAGGTCATTACACTATCAAGTTCAAAGAGAACGTGCTGATTATGCTGCAGAACACTCTGGAGAGCAGCAGTAGGGGGTGTATGAACTACAGTAATCCCTCGTTTATCGCGGTAGATGCGTTCCAGACCTGGCCGCGATAGGTGAAAATCCGTGAAGTAGGGACTCCCAGCATGCCCCTCGCGGGGATTCCCTCCACGTCGCACCTACATCACAAACCGCGGCTATAAACGGAAGTCGCCTTTCCAGCTCACCACTCAGTCATCGTTTCTTCAGATTCATGATCAGAGTTTCCAACCTACCGATCAATCCAACGAACTATCAGCTCATAATAAGTTATCTTACTTACTTCTGGAAAGCCCGGCATTTCCGTGTCACTTCGTTGACGCTCGAACGCTCGGGGGTTTCCTAGAGCAGCCGGCGTTTCACCGATGCTATCACTTCCGCGTCTGTGAAACCACGCTCCCTATTGAATTATCGTATGATCACATTCTCTGTGATCAGCAACGCGCTGTGCCAGACCGTAGGTACTGACACGCGATCGTTCATGTCGGTTCATTTCCTTTAATGTTTTCTGTCTTTTATTTGCGCCTGATGTGTATCGCTGCTGTGGAGCGGGGCGCATCAACTTGTCCACCGACGCACAGATCACTGATGCGGCCGGCAAGCAGGGAGCGCTCCGCTGTTTTCGCGGTCGGTAGATCTGCCTCCTGAGCACGGCCACAGTAACAATCAGGTGTCGCCTCCTCAAAAACTAATTTAACACGCGATCGTTCAGTGTCAGTTCATTTCCTTTAATGTTTTCTGTCTTTTATTTGCGCCTGATGCGTTTCGCTGCATGCTGTGGAGCGGGGCGCTGCGGGCATCACCTTGTCCTCCGACGCACTGATCACTGATACGGCCGCCAAACAGCGAGCGCTCCGCTGTTTTTGCGGTCGGTAGATCTTTTAGAACTGCAGTTCAAAGGTAACTCATGAGGTGAATATATATGAACCCAGGTAGCAGTTTTTCTTTAGGATTGAGAGGAGATGCAGGAAGATAATAAACAGACAGGACAGAAAAATAGTCAAATAAAAACAAGTTAGTTTTTGTACCTGCTGTTGCAACAAACAGACACCACTGAAGGTCATCAGAAGTGAGGAACAGAAAATGAAATAATTATTTTAATGTTTAGAGCAGCAGGAACTCCGAGAGGCTGCAGGCGCATCAGTGAGTTTGCGGCCGCTGCGCAGGGGGAGGGGGGAGATGGCTGAAGCAGAAACTACCGTTGTTAAAAGAAATGTGTTTAACTTTAAAAATGTGGGCGCAATTTTAATTGTCAAAAACTCCAGCGAACCATTAGTTCATTTTGCTCAAATAGAAATAGAGGCCTGCCTCTAATACTGGCCCTCCTTCCAATAAAGGCCTGGTGCTTGATGAGCTTGAGTCAAATACAGGCCGGGGCCTGTATTAGAGGATTTACGGTATATCAAAGTGTACAGTGAAGACAATGATAACGATGCATTTACACCTGAAATACTCTGGGACGCCTGCAAAGCAGTTCTGAGGCTAATTAACTGCAAAACTGACCCTTCTAAAAAATAGAAAAAAGAAGTAGAACAGAAACTGGCAGAACTAGAGAAACAACACAAAACAATACAACTGAAATTACTTTCAAGAAAAATAAAAAGCCCAAACTCAGAAATAAATTAATACTTCTAAAACAGATTTTCTATGACACAGGAAGTAACTCGTCAAAACGCTTAACCTACAGACGACAAAAACAACAAGCGGAGCAGAATGTGTACAAAACCAGGGATCCGTAAGGTAACAAGGTTACATACATAGAAATAAGGGAATGCTTTACAAAACTGTACACTTTAATAGAACAAAATGAAGATACTGAATGATCTAATCCTACCGACCACTTCAAAAGACCAGAATGCAGATCTAACAAAGACTATTAAAGTCCCATCGTTGTTGCGCACACTGGTGTGGTCAAAATTGTCCTCCGCATCTGACCCATCCCTGTGGGGAGCGGTGCGCTGCAGCGGTGGCTGCGCTCGGGAACACATCTCCCCCCTTTTCCGTCTAATTATACTTCTTGAGAATCAAATTAAAATAGCGGTTAGCCCAAAATATAATGAATAAACTTATCCTGCAAAACTAATCTAACAGAGTGATCAGGGTCGCAACTTAACCCATTGAAACTAGTTACTCTTTTCAGTTACAGGCCATAAGGGTGACTATAAGACCAGTCTCTGAACCAGCCTGGACACACAATCGACCTCGTCACAGTCTGGTTAGTGAGAGGAGGGTCATCCGATGAAGCCTGGGTGGCTGGACTGGCTCCTGCCTGGGCAGAAGTCAGGGGCTGACAGTCCATCACAGGTGGTGTCTGTGTGCCGTAGGGCTGCGCTGCAGTGGGATCATAGAGCGGCTCCGGCTGCAGGTGACGTCGGTTCCGACGCAGCGTGTCCCCATCCTGTGTGCGTAAGATGTAGGATCTCGGGCTGATGTTCTCTCCGGTCATGACTACCGGTGAAGCCCGCAATACCTGAGGGTCCAGCTTGGACAGCACTCTGTCCCCAGGGCGCAGTGGTGGCAGTGATCTGGATCCATGGCAATGATTGTAGAAGTAAGCCTGCTTTGCCTTTCCTCTTCTGTCATTCTCTCTCACCACTGATTGATCGGGCCATTTGGGTTGGAGATTTTTACTCAGGGCTCCGCCGGGCTATAACCTGTGGTGGAGCAGGGTGTGGATCTGTAGACCATCAGGGCCATCACAGGGTCCTATTGCTTCAGTATTTTTTTGGCATTTTGCACGGCCCATTCTGCATGGCAGTTACCTTGTGGGTGGTGGGGGCTCGAGGTGCAGTGCTTGAAGTCCAGACTCTTGGAAAACTCTGGGAACTCCGGGAATTGGGAGGGAAACCTGCCTGACAGTAAATACTGCATAAGGTGCAACATTTTTTTTTCAGCTCTATTTTTACTGGTTCTGTCTTAAAGTTCAATGGTCACCAAATGGTCCCCCGCATGGCTGGGATTGTTGGTAAATTGCCTCCTCAATTCTTCTCACCAGGTTCATTTCCACAGATTTTTCTCTGCTCAGCTGTTCACTTATCTCCCATGTGCAACATATGCTGTGAGTGGATATTTCTTGCCTTTTTAGGTGACTGAGCTCTGGATCCGGCCAATGCATTTTATCCGGCCGATGCTTTTTATCTTCCCCCCTGGGCTGTCCAATGGGATGTGTGTTGGCTGCAGCTGTGGGGTAGGTGTGATTAAAAGGTAAGCTTCTTCGCTGATGATTGTTACGTCCACCCCGGTGTCTATTTTAAACTCCATCGGCGTCAAACCCATCAGCAGCTTGATGAACCAGTGTTCATTCTCCCCCGCCGTTGTGTGTGCTGGTGAAAGCATGCGCGTTGATGTATGACGTTACTTCTGGGAATTAAGTACTCGTTGAATTTGGCTAGCACTCGGTTAAAATCATCTCCGTGAGCCACGTCGTCAAAGACGAAGAACCGGAAGATGTTTTCGGCTTCTTGCCCCATGGCGTATATCAGACAGCTGACCTGAACTGCTCCATCATCTCTCCCCCAGCTTCATCGCCGTCCAGTAGTGGAGGAAACGTTGACGCCATTCGGACCATTTCCCTGGCTTACCGAAAGCAAAGCTGGATGGCGGATTGAATTTGGCCACGGCATCTCAGTAGCTCCTTCTTTCGTGTACTTCTGACACCATGTGTAGTGAATGAGGAGACTTGCCGTACTGTTTGACTCACTTTTAACAACAACTCTAACACACGCACAGCTACTACTACAGTTTCAGTCCCACAACTTCCGGGTCGACGTAAAGCGTGTCACAAAGGTCCATGCATACCCCTGATTAAAACTAAACATCAGTGTGGGTTAACA